GTTTTCCACTGAAATGACCATCAACTTCTGCTGGAGTTACAAAGGAGAACAAGGAAAAATTGAAAGATAGCGTGAGTCAATGAAGCCAAGTTTAGGGCCCTTCTCCTTATGGCTCATGTGGAACCTTTCATTTCATCAAATATCACTTGCCGAGGATGCTGAGCACCTCGAGCAGCTCAGCTGTCATCATCTTCCTAGAAGAGACTGACATGAACAGTTCTGGGCTCATAATTTACTCATGAACAACACAAACCCTGACAGATGATAGAAATTTCATTGTATTTGCTAATCCAGAAGAGTGCTATGGGATTCAGCTTTCCTTCATGTTTATTGAATTCAGAATTACAAAATCGTAACTTCTATCAAGTCAGCCCCAGAACTGAGCAGAGAACTTAGACTTCTGTGTTCTCAAAATCCAATTTTAATATTCAGTTAGATCACCACATAAACAAAAAATCTCTCCCCACACCTCACACCAGTGTTTGTGTCAGATTTAGTATTTCTGGTGAGATGAGAAAGAAATGCTATTTTAATAAAATACTTCTTAAACAAAAGACACAGATCTCCCAGAAGCGGTACAAAGAACATTCATGCAAAATTTTGGGTATACAACAGGAGAAAGCAATTTTCTGAATATTTTGGGCTAACAGTGACAGCTCAGCAACTGATGCCCATCATTACAGAGAGAATAACGCAAGTGATTTGCGAGGAAGGACTCCAACCTGCTCACTTTACCATTCCTGCAGACTCAATTGTGGATGAATCCAGCCCTGAATATTTCATCTTAAAACACATCTAACAGCAGTAGCATTATTTGTCTTGGCAGACACTGGAGCTTATGCAAAAAGTAGAAGGCTTACCATGTGGAATATGAGGCAGTAATGCAAAATACATATGGAACAATAAGATAAAATATTAAAAATATAATTTAAAATAGCTTAATCTTACATACACTAGACAAACAAGATATAGATACCTCATTAGTAATTTCATATTAGTAAACACAGCATTAGAACAGACCATACCTTTGCTTTTTCTGAAAAGGAAAACATTCTACTTATTTTTTTCTGCTCTGCATGCATTTCATTTCCCAAAATGCAACCGGGCGTGCATCACATACAAACTTCATCCTGCTTCACCGAAGTACAGCTGTCATGAGCATTCTCTAGCGCTATGCAGAAGCCTTATGGAGTGAAAGGTGTTGGGGACAAGCTGAATCTGAGTCTAAGTGCCATATTTGCAGCAGAGTGAAGCTTCAGAAATGTTACTGGAAAGAACCAACTAGGAATTGATGCCATTTCAGTAGCAAGCAACTTTTGGCAGCCAAAAAAGGGCAGTGTGTAATGATGAGAGCTGAAACAAACAAACTTTATTTAAGAAAAAGCAGCGTCATTTTACTTCTTGTCTAGAACGATACCGTACATGGCTCATAATATCGTGTCCCGTGACAGCCGAATCAGACACTAACAGGCAAGCAAAGGGGGACATGGAGTGCATCACACTTCCTGCATCAGTTGCACTGCACTGACACAGGCTAGAAAACACACAGCACACTCTAGGGACATACATGGAAAAAGGAAAATAATAGAAACGAACAGAACATGGATCCATAGCGCCACAAACCTTCCGGCTCTGTGTTCTCTTTGAGGTGCACTTGCTTCAGTGGGCAGCAGAAGATTTCGTGACACTTAGCACGAAAAGGGGACTCTTTTTTCTTTAATTCCGCAGATTGGATCGAATCTTGCCGTAACATAATGTACTCCTGTGTGCCAGGGGGAGCGTCATCCATAACTGTGGTCACCACATAACAAAATGAACTCAAGTTAGAGCTTGAGGAAAGCAATCTAGAGAATTAAATCAACTACATTATGTCAGGGTGGGGGAAAGAAAGGAGGGGGAGAAATGTTTATAGGAAAGAGAATAAAATTTAAAGTGTAAAGTATCTTAGTCATGGTGGTAGAAGGGTGGAGAAAACATTTACTTTTATAAACAACGCTTCTCATAAACAGCGACACTTCATATTGTTTCATGCAACTTTAATAAATAGTAGAATAACACCCTGCTCCAGAAAGCAACTAGTTTCTCTCCTATGTCTTTGCTTTCTTCTCCTATAGCACCTATATCTACTCTGCATGCAGATCGAGAAAAAAAGCAAACAAAGCATGCTTTTAATGCCTAGCCATAGGCAATCTCTACGTTAACATCAGGGAGTAATCATTCCACATCTGCAGGCAATGCAACATCAGTGTATCTGTTCCCCAAAGTAAAAAGAATATGCCTTTATCAGGATATGCAATTATAGACAGTTCCTTAGAGCAAGGATGATAATCCAATGACATTTGACTTGATCATCATTTTCAATGGACAGGAAAGTAGACGTACAAAGAGAAAGCACATTAATCCTTTTGATGGCTTTCTTGTAAAACAGCAAGTCATTTTTTAAAGTTGATCTTATAGATCAATACTGCCATTAATAATATAAACGATACGCAGTCTGAAATGTTTTCTGAATGGGGTCAGACTATTAAGCAGTAAAAAGATAAAATATATAGCATACAGAAAGCTCCAGCTACCTCCAAGTATTACATTACCAGAAAGAATTGAAACACTTTTCCACTATCTAAAAAATGAAGCCTTAATAATGGAGATAGTGTGACTTCTCAGCTCACAGCTTGAAGGCACAGATCATCTCTTAAGAACAAAAATTAAACGCTTTTTCAAAAGACAGTCTCTAACAACTACTAGTCATTTACAGTGTGATGCAGAGATATAAAACCACAGCCAAAACCAAGCTGAGATTCTCCAACCCTATTGCAAAAAAAAAAAAAAAAATCCAAAAACAAGGAAAGTAATATTCCAACAATCAGGAAAGTAAGCATCGATAGGCTAGTCTAAAACTTGAGATGCACTAGCACTATGTAAGTTTCTATGGTTCAAGTGTTGGCCATTAATTCAAACAATTTAACTGTTTCCTAAATATCTGCCAATGCATAGTCACCTAAAAAAATTCTCGGATTTAAACACGGATCTCCTCAAATAAGTATTATCCTGTTGCATTTTCATGCACTCGATTCCTTCTCTCCTATCAAGAATGGTACTAGTAACAGTCATAGCTAGGTGAGACATAAGTGATTCAACTTGATAGTCTTTTCACAGTGGGCAGTCACCTTCTTTCAAGACCTCATTAATCCGCACGAGACACTTTGCACCTTGGCTGTTGTTGCTTCATTAGACTACACGCGGTGTCCGTAACACACACTAATAACCTATATAAAGTGCCACTAAAAGGGATGCATGAGCTAACAGGAAAGCAGAAGTGGTTCAAGAACGAGCAGCGGGTCAATGGAGCACAGGGTCTGGGTTGCCATATAATTGCTCCCTTAACAATGCTAGTTTTGCCTTGGCTTGTTTGAAGGGTGCGTATGTGTTCGTGAAACGTACTGACAGCCCTGAGACTGAAGGGCAGCTCCTGGGAGTAATTGCTAAGAGTCAACACCCAAGATAAGCCAAAGACCAACACGCCCTGCTGGGTCACTCCTCCACAAAGACACCACTTTTCAGCTGCTGTTGTGGGCATCTGTGTAAAGTCACCAGCAAGCTGCCTGCAGGGCCACCGACGTCATTGGTGTGGGAGCCCTACGGCGCATCCCTCTGACATTTACAGGGATAAGGGATAACATGCGCTGTGAAAGATGAATAGCCAGCAGAGGAGTGAAATGCACAGCTACCTTCTGCCAGCAAGCTGGCCTATACACAGCAGAGCATGCTCTGCTGTCAAAAACCCAGCTTCAGGCAAAAGGCGTGTCCCTGGGCTGACTCTCCGAGAGGCAGTGCCCTTCCCGAGAGTCCTGTTTGACTGTGGGAGCTCAGAGAACTACCCACAAGGTTCCATGCTGTGCGGTGCTGGACTGCCACATTAGTGAAAAAAAGCAGAAATCAGGCTAGCAGCTGCTAAACAGGGTCCGCAGGGGAGAAGGAATGACTGGCAACTACTCAGAGGTACGGCCTAAGGACCCATTCTTCTGGCCACAAGAGCTGTTTGGCAGTGGGCTATGATTTCTCAGCTTCTGTAAGCTCAGAGGGCTTACACAGCATCTGCAAACCAACTCCACGGACTGATTCCATTCATCAAGTGTCTGGCAAATAGTTGCTTGACATCGTTAGGTTCACCGCTATCTCAGGCAAGCTCACTAAGACAGGTGGAGAAGATACAACTGGTCCTCTACCAGTCACCTACATGCTCGTATCACCACCTACACGCAGATTTATTTAAACGTGTATAAGCCACAAAGAGAACCACACCTTCAATAAGTGAAGAAGGTTTTGAAATCAACAAAAGCCCATCAGATTACTAGAATCCAGGACATCAGGTGTAAATAAGCCTTGGTTTTAGGACCATCACCAGTGCTATCACTGAGGTCTAGAGCAAACCCCGGGAACCACAGCTCTAATAAAGCCTTAATGCTGGAATGATGTATGGACAACCTAATTGATGTCAGTGTTTTGAATGGAACAGTTAAAACCTTTTCTTAACATGATGAATGGTCTCAACTCAGGCTGAGAATTTATTACAAAACTAGGAACACCCCCTGAACCCAATACCTTCTTTTCCCTGCTATGATGACAGCCAGACACCCTCGTGGAGCCACTGAAATCACAGCTGTAGGACCTCAGTTATAGGTCCCAAGAACTAATCCACAGGGAAGTTTCAACGACACAGAATCTAATGTAAAAAGCTTTAAAAACCTGACGATGTCCATTTCTGAAGACTAAAAATAATCAGTGCACAACAACGAAACGATCATTATTAAACAATTGAACAAACACTTTGAAAAAGGGAGAAATATCACCAGGAATCTGCTATGATTTTGCTAATGGGATAAAAACCACACGTATGAAAGAATCACAGATACACAAGAGTAGGAGAGAAATGGTACATTTTAGGGAATTAACAAGAACCCAAAGCAGTATTTACATACTGTGCTATGTGGAGCAGAGGACATGATTTTTACTCTACTGTTCCCTCCATTACAGCCTCTGCTAATTGCAGGACCTAGGATATGCTTACACGCCTCTGTGTAATGCACAGATACACAAGTTAGCTTTAAATCAGCTAATCTGGGTAGCAATCACAAGCCAGCACCAAGCTCAACAAGGGCAGCAGAAGACCCATGAGAAGCCTGACATGCCCAGCTTCACTCCATCACATGGATGCTGTTCTCAAGAGCACTCAGAAGAAACCCTCACTGAGGCACATCTACATCTCCTTGGTCACCTTTCTGAAGGCAGATGTGTACTCAACTGCCAGCCTCCAATATTCAATTTTGACTCTGTTGTAGGTCTTCAGCTGCTCACCCTAAGGTACTCCCCATCCTCACAGGTAAAACACTCAGTGGTCTACATTTCCATCTTCCCATGATAAAACACGGACAAGACTTCATGTGTCATGGACACAAGTGCTTAAGATACTAGTAAAGAACTTGTATATTCTCAATTGGAAGATGATAAAGAAATTCTTCATAGCTTTAAAAATAAGTAAATATTTTTTCTTCCCCCCCCCCCCCCACTTTTGTGGGTC